ACTACACTGCCCACCTAATTTTTAGAGATAGGATCTTGCTCTTGTGCAGGCTGGTCTGGAACTCATCAGCTCACTTGCCTTGGCCTCGGGAGTGCTAGGATTACAGGTGTGAACTGCCAGGCCTTGTTACTGTTTTTTTTTTTTTGAGAAGAGTCTGACTTTGTCACCGTCCATAGAGTACCATAGTGTCATAGCTCACAACAACCTCAAACTCATGGGCTCAAGTGATTCTTTTGCCTCAGTCTCCTGAGTAGCTGGGACTACAGGCCTGTGCTACAATGCTCAGCGATTTTTTTTAGAGATGAGGTTTCACTCTGCCTCAGGCTAGTCTTGAACCCACTCAGGCAATCCACCTGCCTCGGCCTCCAAAGTGCTAGGATTACAGGCGTGTGCCACCGCACCTGGCCTGTTACTGTTTTTTTTTTTTTTTGATAAAAGCACTTTATTTATTTATTTATTTATTTGAGACAGAGCCTCAAGCTGTTGCCCTGGGTAGAGTGCCATGTCATCACAGCTTACAGCAACCTCGAACTCCTGGGCTCCAGTCATTCTCCTGCCTCTGCCTCCCAAGTAGCTGGGACTACAGGCGCCTGCCACAACATCCTGTATTTTTTTTTTTTTAACTTCTTCTTCCTATAGTGTTCTCTTGCCCCCCATGTAGCTGGGATCACAAGGTCCTGCTGTCTTGTTGTTGTAGAGACGGGAGTCTTATCTCACTCTGGCTCACTCTGCCTCAGGCGGGTCTTCAGCTGGTCTCGAACCTCTGAGCACAGGTGATCCACCTGCCTCGGCCTCCCACAGCGCTGGGACAACAGGCGTGAGCCACCACACCGGGCCAACATCCTGTATTTTTTGGTTAAAGCTGTCATTGTTTAGCGGGCCCAGGCTGGATTCCACCCCACCAGCTCAGGTGTATGTGGCTGGCACCTTAGCTGCTTGAGCCATAGGCGCCACGCCAGTAAAAGCACTTTAAATGTTTTGAAAATTGCTTCTGTTGTATACTGCAGGTATTTTCCCAGTTTAACATTGATATTTATTTATTTAATTTTTATTTTATTTCTATTTTTAGTAGAAACAGAAACAGCATCTTGCTCAGGCTGGTGTTAAACTCCTGAGCTCAAGGGATCCTCTGTTCTTGGCTTCCTAGAATGCCAGGATTATAGGTCTGAGCCAACAGTACCTGGCCCACAGATACCATTAGTACAATATGTCATTCTTAGCTATAAGTTACCTTGCGTGCATTCTTTTGAAGTGTATTCCTCCTATCTAGTTGTAAGTGACTAGCATCTCCCTTTCTTCCCACCCCCTACCCACCAAAGCCGCTGGTGACCACCATTCAATTCTTGATTTCTGTCAACTTATTTGGATTCTGCATAAGTGAGATCATGTGATATTTGTCTGTGTGTGCCCATCTTTTTTTTTTTTTTTTTTGCGATAGAGTCTCACTGTCTGGCCCTGTGTTGTCACAGTTCACAGCAACCTTCAACTCTTTTTTTTTTTTTTTTGAGACAGAG